CCTCAGGATAAATGGGAGCCGGTGCGGTCGTCTTGGTGGGGAAGGGTCTGTAATCGCCTCAGGATAGAGGGGAGCCGGTGCTGATGTCTTGGTGGGGAGGGGGTCTGTAATTGCCTCAGGATAGATGGGAGCCGGTGCCGTCGTCTTGGGGGGGAAGGGTCTGTAATTGCCTCAGGATAGAGGGGAGCCGGTGCCGTCGTCTTGGGGGGGGAAGGGTCTGTAATTGCCTCAGGAGGGATAGGAGCCGGTGCTGATGTCTTGGTGGGGAGGGGTCTGTAATTGCCTCAGGATAGAGGGGAGCCGGTGCCGTCGTCTTGGTGGGGAGGGGTCTGTAATTGCCTCAGGATAAATGGGAGCCGGTGCCGTCGTCTTGGTGGGGAAGGGTCTGTAATTGCCTCAGGATAGAGGGGAGCCGGTGCCGTCGTCTTGGTGGGGAGGGGTCTGTAATTGCCTCAGGATAAATGGGAGCCGGTGCCGTCGTCTTGGTGGGGAAGGGTCTGTAATTGCCTCAGGATAGAGGGGAGCCGGTGCCGTCGTCTTGGGGGGGAGGGATCTGTAATTCTCTCAGGATAGAGGGGAGCTGGTGCCGCCGTCGTCGTTGGGGGGGGAAGGGTCTGTAATTGCCTCAGGAGGGATAGGAGCCGGTGCTGATGTCTTGGTGGGGAGGGGTCTGTAATTGCCTCAGGATAGAGGGGAGCCGGTGCCGTCGTCTTGGGGGGGAAGGGTCTGTAATTGCCTCAGGATAGAGGGGAGCCGGTGCTGTTGTCTTGGGGGGGAAGGGTCTGTAATTGCCTCAGGATAGAGGGGAGCCGGTGCCGATGTCTTGGTCGGGAGGGGGTCTGTAATTGCCTCAGGATAGATGGGAGCCGGTGCCGTCGTCTTGGTGGGGAAGGGTCTGTAAATGCCTCAGGATAGAGGGGAGTCGGTGCTGATGTCTTGGTGGGGAGGGGGTCTGTAATTGCCTCACGATAGATGGAGCCGGAGCCGTTGTCTTGGTGGGGAAGGGTCTGTAATTGCCTCGGGGCGGGTGGGAAGCGGTGTTGTCAGGGAAGGGTCCGCGTCCGCCCCGGCGCGGGCTGGCGGCGGTCGGGTCCCGCCGGCCGGGCTGGGCTGTGCGCCTTCCCGGGAGGCGCGCGCAGGCATCGCTGCAGGGGGTGCAGCAGGACCACGGAGGATCCAGTCTCCGCCTGGAGCGGCCCGGAGCAGCAGAGAGCTCTTCACCCTCGTCCCTGCAGGGAGCCCCGGAGCACCCATCCCGTGAGAGGAGCTGATAGGTGAGCGTTTACCGGGTGGGAGGTGGGGGGGGCGGGGGGCAGAGGGAGGGGAGTCGGGAGTAGGTGTGGGAGGACGGCGGGGCCGGTGGTGCTGGGGACAGTTCCCACGGGGCCGGGCGGGGCTGTGGGGAGCTCCCGGTCCCTCTCGTCCCTGACCGCGCTCTCCTGCCTTCGCACCGGTCTCCGGAGCAGACAGAGGCGGCGTCCGTCGTGTGGCAGTGATAGGCAAGAGCGCCTTCAGCCCAGGACCCTGAAGAGGAGCGGAGAGGGGAAGCCCGGGAGACTGAAGAGGAGCGGAGAGGGGAAGCCCGGGAGACTGAAGAGGAGCGGAGAGGGGAAGCCCGGGAGGCTGAAGAGGAGGAAAGTGAAAGGCACTCTGGGCACAGGGACCTCCTTGTCACGGGGGCTGGGGTCACACAAGGGCGTCAGTGGCACCTTTGGGGTGCCCTGGCTGGCTTTGAGCTGGGTGCCCTCCTTGTCACCAGGGTTGGGGTCTTTGCTTTTGCCATGTTGCTCCGTGGGTGGGTAGCCTTCCCGGAGAGAGGGGCAACCTTGTAAGCAGGGGGAGAGCCACCATCTCCGCAGCCTGGGGTGGGGGGAAGAGGAGCTCCTGAATATGGGGCGTTGTGCTGCAGCCGGGTTAGCCAGCCCGTAACTCGGGCTCCGTGGGGCTTGTTGGGAGTGCTGAGCTGAGGGGGACCGCCCTGTAAGAAGGGCTGTGTGTGGCCCCTCTGCTGGGCGGGAGGTGTAGGGAGGGACCCCTTTAATCAAATGGGTGTTTCTGTCCCTGACCTTTCAGAGGCACGGGGCTGAGATGTGTGGTTGGGCGTGCCCTGCCCTGGGCTTCTTTCTCTCTGCTCTCAGTACCTGGGGCAGTTTAGGAGGGTGGACACTAGTGGGGAAGGTGGGAGGCTGGGGCGAACCTGTCTGGGACCTTCCTCTGAGGTTGATGTCCCTCACTCCCCCGGGCGGGGGACCTGGTTTTTGCTTGAGCCCTCACTTCCTTGGCAGCCGTCCCAGGACAAGAACATTGTGTGGAACGGTGCCAGTGAGCACCACGGGTGAGCTAGACGAGGGGCGGTGGGCTGAACACAAGAGCGCTGCCAACACCTTTGACTGGCGGTGCGCTGCGTGATCTCCCTGTAAACACGGCTGGAGTCTTTGGCCTTTTGCCACGATGCCCCACGGTTTGGCTGCCCAGAGAGCGTGGCAACCCTGTAAGGAGGGTGAGAGCCACCGTCCCCGCACCCGAGGGGGAAATGGAGCTCTCTGGACCCCTAGGCCACCCTGTAAGCAGGGGAGGGCCGTTTCCCTGCCCCAGCAGCTTTCTGCCCGCTGGTGGCCTACCCAGCGTGACCCCCTGTTGTCAGGGCGTGTCACAGCGTTTTCCCCTTGGCGTGTTGAAGCTCTCCGGCTTCCACGCAGCCCCGGGCCCGGTCCGAGGCTCTCCTCTCCTGCTCGCAAGTAGGGTGACTCCCCAGGCATTGGCTGCACGGGGCCCACGCTCCCTTTGTGGAACTTCTTTCCTTGTTTGTGTCTGCGATTGCGTGCGTGTCTTTGCGTGCGTGTGCATGAGCAGGAGAATGAGCTTGTTTAGGCCCTTGTTAAAATAGCTGCAGCGTACTTAGCCTGAACTTCCCGGGAGAGCCGGGCTCTGTGCAGTAACAGGGGGCCCCCCTCTGAGTCCGTGAGCGGAGGGACGGTCTGGACTCGCCCCTTCTTTCCAAGGACGGCACCAAGCCGCTTAGTCGTGGTGCGGGCAATGCGACCCGCCTGCAGTCAGGACCTGGGTCTCTGCCTGCGTGGCTGCCTGTCCCGCTGGTGACCCGCCAGCGTGACCCCCTGTTGTCAGGGCGTGTCACAGCATTTGCCCCTTGGCGTGTTGAAGCTCTCGGGCTTCCACGCACAGCCACAATAATCGGTGGAGCCCTCTGTCCCCTGGAGCAGCCCCAGCTCGCTTTAAGCAGGGCTTGGGACGCTGTTTTAGCCAGCCCACAGGAACGAACCCTCCCTCGCCCTTCAGAGGGCGCCGGCCCACCTTTGGCTGGGCTGACCTCCCCCTGCTTGGGGTCGAGGTCGCTCGCTGGGCTCCTGCAGAAGTACAAGATGATGATGGTGACGATGATGATGATGTGCTGCAGCCACGAGGCCCGCCCGTAAGTCGGGCGCAGGTCGGAGCCTCAGGCTCCGTGGGGCTTGTTGGGAGCGCTGAGGTGAGGGGAGCCACCCTGTAAGGAGGGCTGTGAGTGTCCCCTGCTCCCAGTGGGAGTGCTGGGAGGGCCCCCCTGTAAGCAGGCGGGTGTCCCTGGCCCCAACCTTGCAGGGGCAACAATTCGGAATCTGTGTCTTCTCACGCCAGAACTGGAATGGCTTCTAAACCGCCAGGGAACGGCCCTGAGCCAAGTACCTCCCCCACACCCATAAAGACCCTCCCCAAAGCACTAAGGATGCTGTAGTGTGACTGCAGCCCCGGTGACAGGGACCGTCCCTTTGCCCGGAGTGCCTTTCTCTGGGCCCTTCTTCAGCCCGCTGCTTCTCCTCCGGCTCGCTCTTTCCTTGCAGTTCCACACGCGAGGGATGCCTCTGTTTAACCTTCTCCTCCGGGGGCTGCTGCCAAGGAACCGGGGAGCCTCTGCCCACTCCTCCGCCCGGTGGACCGGGGGGCGCCCGCCCCGGAGGAACATCCCTGCTTTTGTTTGTCCAGAGTCCTGGGCCTGAGAGCAGAGACCGAGCGGCCTAGGGCACGGCGAGGAGGGTGGGATGGGAGCAGGTCGAGGGTGGCCAGCGGCGCTTGCCCGCCTCAAACACCACCCCGTTTGCAACCAGCTGCTCGGCGTTAAAGCGACAGCTTCTCCCGAGGGTGGGGGGAGAGACCCACTTCGGGAGGTTCTGCCCAAGCCCCCCGCCCCTCCCGGGACCTGCCCTTGCCAGAGCTTCCAGCGATTCCGCTGCCCCTAGGGCAGGAACTGCCCCGCACTCTACAGAGCGCGCAGCTGGCAGCCTGCGTGGGGTGACCGCCCCCCTAGTGGGGTGCGGGTCAGGGTGTCCCTGAACGGGAGAGAGGGAGCCCCAGAGGGGCTTGGGGACCAGGGCCGCCCCCTCCAGCCGCTGCTTTGCACGCCCAGCAGCGCGTGCCCAGGGTGCCGCCTCCGAGCACGCCTCCAACGCCGGCGGAGCCCCGGAACCTCGCTCCGGTGAGAAAAGGCGAATGCCGAGGTGTTTGGGGGGGGGTAGGGGGGTGGGGAGGGGGGGGCGTATGCTGCGGGGCCGGCGGAGCAGCGGGGACTGCTCGGCCCTGACTGCCTCCTCTGGCCCCTGCAGCGGCTGCTGGCGGAGGGGTCCGTCGAGCGTGGAAGGACCATCGGGGCAAGAGCGAGCGAGGAGTGGAAGTGCGGGAAGAACGCGCACGACAACGCGGTCGTGAGCAGGAACTGTCCTGCAACAGCTTTTGTCGCTGCCCTTTTCCCAGCTATTTACTGCGGCGGTTACCCAATAAAGCGCTTTCTCCAACCGTCTCCTGTCTGTTTGGCTACTGTCCTGCCCGAGTTCGCCCGGGCAGGGATGGGGAGGTATGCCCTCGGGAGCATCCACCGCCGCGGGGCTGCTGCCGTCTCGCAGTCGTGGGAAGGGGCGACCGGCGGCTACCATAGCCGTGTTCCGGCTCCGCTTCCTCTGCTGCGGGGCGCGCTCCGCACTCCGGCGGAGCGAGCTGACGGCGGCCCGCGCAGGCGGCGTGGAGGCGCGCGCCCGTGCCCACACCCGGCATGGCGGCCGGCGGCTTCGGCAGCGCTGTCGTTCCGTTCGCTCGGGCCAGGTAGCGGGGGTTCTCGGCTTCCCGTTCTCGGCATGGCCGCCAAGGGGGCTCGGCAGCGGCTGCGAGCTGGAGGTGGCGGGGAGGCGGCCCGGCCGCGGTCGGAGGCCGCGGTCACGGAGGAAGCCCGCTTGGAGTAGGTGCCGGGGCCGGCGTCGGGAGGGGGGAGTCCGCGGCGAGGCGGGGCCGGGACGCGGTGGGCGCCGGGCGCGTACCCCTGCAGCCGGGCGGTGCGCGCGGCCGCCTGTCGTGGGCGGGTTCGCAGCGGCATCCCCAGTCGCCGGCGGGGCCGGGGCCGCGGCCGCGGCCGCTGCCGCTGCGAGCTCCCGCCCAGCTACTTCCTGGTCTTTGCGTCCTGAAAGGGCCCGGAGCGAGCCCCCTGCAGGGGCTGGTGCGTGCCCAGCCGGCTCCGTGTGTGCCGGGGGAATGGGATCTCCCCGGCGTCCTGTCGGTGGAGTTCCTCCCCTGCCTGTGGTAGCTCTGCGTGGCCTTGGTGGTGGGAGGAGGGCAGACCCTGGGGGCTGTCCTGCTGCCGTGCGTTAAGCACCCAGGGCCCTTGTTCCGTTATGGTGTGGGGTGGAAGATGGTTCTTCCTTGGCACGGAACCGGTAACCCCCAAAGAAAGGAGTGAATGAAAGATACTTAGGTGACAGAGATGCAGATACGCTTGTCTGTTCTGCATCTCTTTGTTAGTTCTGCATCGCATTGTTAGTCTTGAGCTAGTTGCCGGGTCTTCTAGGTGTGTATCTGTACTTTTCTCTTTGGACTAGATCACCTGGGAGCAAAGCAGGACAAGTTTGGGCTCCTGAAGGATCAACGGCTTTTAAGTGTCTCATTTCAGCCAGGTTCTGTGCAGCTCTCTTAAGCAACATCTCTGACTGCGATGAGACCTTTAACTATTGGGAACCGGTAAGTGGCTTTGTCTCCTCCGAGATACTTGAGAGTTTGTAGCTGGCTGTGCAAATGCAGATTTATCTTGAACCTTGCGCTAATCTCTGCGTTTCAGAGAAATTTTCTTAGGGATTCAGGGGTGAGGAATGCAAACCTGTCTGCTCTGTGTAATGCGTGTTTGTTTAATCTGAATTGTAGACGCACTACCTCGTTTATGGAAAGGGGTTTCAGACATGGGAATACTCTCCAGCCTATGCCATCCGCTCCTATGCTTACCTGTGGCTTCACGCCTTACCAGCTTTGTTCCATGCTAGAGTTCTACAAACTAATAAGGTAAATCAGCCAGCTGTGTGAAAGTTTCTTTTCTGATGAATAAACATGCCTTTAGCCTGTGTTAAAGAGGTGCTCTGTTTGTTGTTGGAGTGAAAAGGACTGGTATTTACAAAACACCCCTTTGTTTACAAATACCTCCCTTCCTGTAATAATTTGCCAGGCTTTGTAAACTGACTCAATGGGATCCAAGGAGAAGTGATTGGGAAGGTGCAGAAAAATCCCTTAAGGCTAGAATTTGACTCAGAAGCTGTCTCCCTGGGGCTGGTTGCTGGCCTTTTGAGTGTAAGCAAATCTGGCAACAGTTAGCTGGCAGCCCTTTGCTCTCATCCACTCTTGAGACTTTCACCCTGATGTTTTAGAAGCCTGAATTGTTTTTTATGCCCATTATCAATGACTCTTTGTTTGCTTGTTTTTCCAATAAGCTATAATAAGTTACTATTTTGCAAGGAATATTTCAAACTGAACTCATTGAAATGTAAAAAAAAGCACCAGATGCCTTCTGTTTGGGTATCCGTGCCATACTTGTCATATTTCTGCACAACAGAAAACAAAAGGGGTCAGTTCTGTACATTCAGTGGACTGTGTGCGTTTTCCATGTTTTAAAGGACTTCAGTGTTAGAGAGCTAGGCCTTGAGCTGGCAGGACCTTCAGCATCCCTTGGGGTTGGGATTTAGGTCTCCCAAGAACAGGCTCTTTGACAACTGCCACACTTGCTAAAAACTTGTTAAAATCAGGTGCATGAGCTTTATTGCAAACCTTGTTCAGACTCTGAGTATGTTTCCTAGGTTCTTGTCTTCTACTTTCTCCGATGCTTCCTGGCCTTCCTGAGCTGTGTTTGTGAACTCTACTTCTACAAGTGAGTGTTAAAAGCTGTCTATAGAGAATGCTTTGGAGTCAGGTAACACATTCAGTTGCTGCAACAGGAAATATATTGTGAAGCTCATGTCTGGTAAATTGGGCTACTTCACAGTGAACATTTGAAACGTATTCTCATGATAACTTAATGAAGTATTGGTCTAAATTCCACTGTTAGGACAAAATTATATTCTTAGATCTGCCACCTCCATCTCCATTCTAGTATTTTGTTGACTACACTCTTTTTCTCATACCAGCAAGCAGGGTGGGTGTGTTGTAAACTGAGCTGTGCTGAAGGAGACACTGGTACTGTGTTTGCTTACCATAGTGAATTTTAGTTTTGATTGTTGCTGTCTGTAACGTATTTGCTAATGGTATTTACATCCACTAAAAGCAGTAGCCTGAACATATAATTATCTTGTCTATGCTGGATTTTTAGTCTTACCTGCTGCTTCTTCGTTTGGGGCTTTCAGACTATTAGCTTACATGATTTTTGTTTGCAATAGCCTGGTTTTTAGAATGTGAGCTGTGGGGTTTTGCACATTGGGCTTTTGTGAGGGGTGAGAATCTTAAGACTGATGCTGTTACAGCAATGCAGGCTCCCTAAGTTCCTGAGATTTGTGCAAACACAGCTGGCACTGCTATAAGCCAAGTGTTTTGCACTAGTGTAATTAACGAGGATCTGAAATCCCAGGCCAGAGGCAGCTGTGTGGCTCTTCAGGTGGCCTTCAGTGGCTGACTAATGAGGCTCCCCCACCATAAAGGTGTCAGGATACTCCATGGATTGTTTGTGGCTCTGCATGCACTGGATACTGTTTGTTTATGTGCTGAGGATATTTTTGGCCTCTAATTCTCTGTTGCTTCCTTAGGGCTGTATGCAAGAAGTTTGGGTTACATGTGAGCCGGCTGATGTTGGCCTTCTTAGTACTCAGCACTGGGATGTTTTGCTCATCTGCAGGTAAGATTGCTTAGGAATAACACTGACCATTACTTTGTCCATAGAAAACAAAGCCAGGTTCAGAGAGAAGATCCACAGTGCTTAAAATATCTCTTTAGTAATTGTTTGTTGTATTCTGCTGCATGTATTTCTTTGGCAGGTGTGATGACAGAATAGGTGTTGGTTCAAATTATGTTCCCTCTATCATGTTCTTGTACCTTTCAGTTTTCCGGGGCATGTTTGTTTTTATTGCTGCTTCCAGTTTCTCTAGAATGGGGCTTGCTTTTTAAAAGAGGTTTTTGGAGGGTCATGTTTTAGCATTGTTGTTTGCTTGTGTGTCCTGTCGCCCTGGCTGGTTGTACACATTTGCTTAGCCAACCACTATAAGACTTATAGAAAACACCTGCCGAAGGTATTGAGGAAGGTGCAGAGGGAGACTTTGAGCAAAGTTTTTTTGTATTGTGTGCACACAGAAACTTAAAGGGAAGTACCACAGGTTATGAATGTTGAGATTTTCTAATTTTACCCTTTTTCTATTTATGGTGAGTGGAGAAAGGACTTTCCCTTTGTTTTTGCAGTGTCATGGGTCTCGTTCTTCGCTTCTCACCAGTCTCTGCTCAGTTGTTTCAGAGACTGTATCCAGTCAGCTCATACCTGCTGTCACTTGAGCAGGTTCATTTCATTCTTTTTTTAACCTAGCGGAATATGGAGGATACAGCAAGTGTTACAGGTGGTAACTGTGGATGCTGTTGGTTACCCCTGCTGAGTGCAACCAAGGAGAGAGGCCTTTGTACTTAAAGGAAGTATTTCTTGTCTTGGCAGAACAAGAAAAAGAATTCTCTTTTGTTTTTGTGTTCACTTAGATGAACATGTCCAGTACAGCATCCCTATTTCAATGGAGTGAATGAGAGATTATTAGGCTTATCTTGGCCTTGTGCAGTTCTCCCACTGCGGGAAAGCTGTGCTAACCCTATTTTTTCCTTGTGTGGCAGCTTTTCTCCCCAGCAGTTTCTGCATGTACACCACGGTGATTGCCATGACTGGCTGGTATATGGACAAGACCTCTGTAGCTGTGCTGGGGGTGGCTGCTGGAGCCCTTCTGGGCTGGCCCTTCAGTGCAGCTCTTGGGTAAGGAGAGGAGGGTTCAGAAGTTTTGTGCTTTCCAAATGTTTCTGGCCTGCTTGGGGAGAAGGCAGGGGCTGGAGGAAAAACTAGCAGGGACCAAGCTGTCAGCCTAGCCCAGGATCATTGCTACAGGCTTCCATAGCCTGATTTCTTTGCTTCTGAAGGACCTAGGTTGGGATGATTTCCTTACCCTAATATACTGAGGGTGAAACCTCAGTTGGATGACTGGAATATGGAGTAGAGGCAGAGACAGTGGAGTTATGGTTATTTTCCAGCTACTGTCCCACTTGCTTTGAAGGGGTAGAAGAACCTGCAGTGGGGGAAGACAACGTCTCCAGTTGATAGCTGGTCTCTCTTTCAGGCTTCCTATTGCCTTTGACTTCTTGATACTGAAACAGAGGTGGAAAAGTTTCCTCAACTGGTGTGTGGTGTCATTGATCCTGTTTTTGGTAAGTGCCTGCAACAATGCAGAGAAGGAGTAGATTTGGCTTGCAATAGAAAGGGTGGGTTCTGTTAAGAAAATCACATGGAGGTTTTGGGCAGTCTGGCCAAAAGCTTTTGGCACTTGAAGTAATAGATGCTTTTTTTCAGGTGCCCTTGGTAGTTGTGGACAGCTATTACTATGGGAAGCTGGTAGTTGCGCCTCTCAACATTGTTTTATACAATGTCTTCACCTCTCACGGACCTGATCTCTATGGTGAGTTTAAGACAACAAGACAGAAAGGGAGTCGGCGGTTTTCTTGCTACTGTCTTGCTCCCGTGACCCATCAGGTCTTGATTGCCAATCCTTTTTCTGGTGTACTCTTAAAGCGAAAGCAGCTGCCAAGCTCCAAGGGGATGCAGTTCCAGCTTTTTGCCACAGGATGTCTCTCTCGAGCCGGGAATAAGCCGGCCATTGTCGGATTTCTCCACGCTGTAAAGATGCTTTTGTTTGCTTTCAAGTTCTGTTACCCGTCGTGAGATGTCTAAGGGTCACAGCAGAGGACTGTAGTAGCAAACGTGTCTGGATGCTACGCCAGTGCTGTGGGCGGAAGCAATACGTGTGTGTGTTTGTCAGCTTTGAGTTCTTGTCTGTTTCTCACGGTCATGGTGCAGAACCTTGGGTAAGTGGATAACAGTGCAGAGTCCGTAACTCTTTAGGTGCCAGTATCCTAAATGGCCAGTACCTTCTAAACCTTGATGGCAATGCTGTGTTGTTTGTCTGGGAGCTGCCACTGCACTAAGTTGTTTATATCATCTTATTTCTGGAGCTGAAAAGCAGAAAAGTATTACATTTCTAGCAGGGCTTCAGAGAGGCTGGCAGAGACCTCAGGGAGCTTAGGGTGTAGGGTCCTTGCGTCATCTGTCATCTGTTTCCGTCCTGTTGAGATATTCTAGGAGGGATTCAACAGTGGTAAGCAGCAAGGCTGCAGTGCCCTCCAGGCCATGTTTGCTGGTTCATTTGTAGGGCTGCTTTGGGTGGTGCTGAGTGGTGATTTGTTACTTGTGCTGTGACACAGCAGGGCAGCAGCTGCTTTGCCATGTTTCTTCATCTCTGCAGGAAGGCTCTGAAGTCAGTTGCTGTGAATTTTCTATAAGTAAACTCCAGGCTTTGTCTCTGATAGGTTTTGGCATGGGCTTCTGCTTGACCTTTTCCACAGTGGTTCGTGAGTTGCTTCCAGAAGCCTCCAGGGACCAATCTATTCTGAAGTGTTTTATTCATAGTGACATTCATATAACATCCTCAGGCTAGTAAAAGAGCTTGTTTGAAATTGCTCTTTAATGTAATGCGGCCAGGACAACGCTGTGTGTTTAGAGAGCTTCAAGACACTTGGGAGAAATAACACTACCAGGGGAGATGAGCGTCTGGCCAGTCCCTTTTGGCTCTGGAGCTGGGATTTTCCAACTTTCACATGAGAGCAGGAGCTGCTGGAGGTTGTAGAGTCATCAACCCATATCATGTTCAGTGTAAGCACCACAGTATTTTCCCTTTTGCCTGTGTTCTGGAGTTCTTCAGGCAAGATTTTTTTGTTTGTTTGTTTTTTCTTTAGCAACACATTTCTGGATAAATACAGTCTGTGTAATAAATACTTCCCTGGGGTGATTAGATTTTTCCAGCTAATGGAAAGTAGCTCATAAGCCTATATCCCTAAGCCTGATTCTGAGGCTTTGGGGTGTTTCTGTGTACATTTCTTCTAAGAATGTGTAATTTATGACAAAAGTTTGGTCCCACTTCCTGTAATCAGCCTTGGCTGTGACTTTCAGTGTGATGGAACTTTGGAAAGCTTTGTTCAGCTTGGGTGGGAAGGTGCTTATTTATATGACATCTTGCTCTATTGAGTCCTGGTTCTTAAACAGAGTGAAAATAAGTGAAATGCGGAATGTAGACTATTTATTATATGTGCACTGAATCAGGCTTGCTTAGAAAGAGAGTTGTGACTCCTGATCAAATTATTGTGATCTGCTCAGCTCTAGCATGTGGCATACTTGCAAGAAGTTAAATCTTCTGTCATGGTCTGAGGGTGATACTGTGGAAGCGTGTTCCCAACAGTACTATGCATGGAAAGTTCCTTAGTGTCCCTCCCCGCTTGAAGGACATTGTTCTGGCCCAGGACTTCTTGCACTGGGGTTGCTCTTTTTTTTTTACATTGCATTCTTTCTCCCATCACTCTGGGTCGTTGTGGGTAACAAGAATAAAAGCATTTTGCCCTGGGAGGCATTGAGACTGAATGCCTCTGAATGGGTGAGTCATCACAGTGACCAAGCCTACTGCTTTCTGCCTGGTGTCTGTGAATTATTTAATTTGCCTGTGTGCACTGTTCTCTTTGTTTGTTTGTTTGTTTTCCTCATCCAGAGAAGAAAATTCCTCATTGGAGAAGGAGGCTCCAGTGCTTCATTCTTAAGGGCAGTTCAGTCTCACTGAAAAAAGAACCCTGAGAAAGTGGGAAAGTAGCTTTTTTGTTAAAGCTGTGCTTCTTCAGAACAGCTGACCTCTTTATTAGCAGAGCCCCTCAGGACACCTCAGGGCCTTTAAGGCTGTATCTGGATTGCGGAGGAAGTGTGCTGCATCAAGTGTCCATCGTTGCTGAGTCCCAGCAAACTAGAGAAAGCCATAGTTAATTTCCTTTACTTGCCATAGCAGCCAGGGCAGGTGGAAAGGTGACAGCATGGTCCTTGATATAATCCTTTACAGATCTGGGACTTGGCTGTGCAGTTTAACTGCAGCCAGGAAACACCAGAGGGTTAACAGTTTGTGTCAGTTTAAGAAGCTTTGTATCTCATTCCGGCATCTTCTGTGATAAAGTGGCTGTGGTTCATAGCAGTGGGAGTGGGGAAGCAGGCTACAGAATCCAAATCTAGTCCTTTTTTTTTCCATATAGGGAGTGGCCTTGGCATTCTACTGAAATAGTTACTAGAGTGGCTGAACCATGTTAACCTGCTGTAAGTCTTTGAAAACCTGCACTGTTGTCTCAGAAGAGAATCTGTGGAGGCAGCAGGGCTGGGAAGAAAGCAAAACCTCCTTTGCACGCATGTTTTCTAAACGTCCAGTGAGAGATTTACAGTGTGATAGCCCACGCTGCCTTGGGTTTTCCCTCACAAACATATCACAGTCAGCAGCCCTCATCCTATTAAGGGTAGTATGCTTTAGTCCTAAAATGATATGCTTTGTGTATGTGTTCAAGTTCTATCACAGTGATTATTTAGAATTGCAGTCCTTAAATATGGAGAGTGCCCAACGAAGTCTAGAGAAGGGGGAAGGGTCGTTGCTGCTATTAGAATGTTGCCATACAAATAACTGTCATGTCCATCATTTGGCATGATCTTTCAATCTACAGTACCCGATATTCAGCCTTTCACAGGCTGAGGATTTTGTTCTTGTAGGACTTGAAAGAATTAAGAGGCAGTTGGAGGGAATACCCCCTAATCCTCAAAATCCAAATCTGTAATTGCTGTTTGCTTTCAGTGCTTATAGTTTAGGTTTCCTAAATGAACCTCTGTTGCTTGGACTTGGCCTTAGTAACTCCAATGACATGTTTCTAACATTACTAGTACAGCTTCTAATCATACTTAGATGTAGGAGCTGGAGAGGTTTCAGGTTTTCCTTGCTGCTTTTCAGTTGTCTGATTAATTTCAACATGGACCCTATTTAAGTGGCTCTGATTGCAGGAAATTGCTGTGGCATGTGACGCATGTCACAACAGTGCAGTGATTAAAGCCCCCGCGTGTCATTTACTGACTGATTGAGCTAATCACACAGAGAGAGTGGAAAATGTGTGAGAGGAACTGGCATTCCTTATTGTTCAGGATTTTAAGCATCCCGACTTAAGAGTCCAAATAAATGACAGTTGGACTGTGGAATTTCTTTCAATTGATATCATTTGAAGCTTGCAACAAATAGTCAAGTGTGTCATGTTAGGAGGCACAGTTGGCTTGCTCCTGTTTGAAGCTACACTGTAAGAACTAATTGAAGCAGGGATATTTTAAATAGTGTTGATTCTAAGGAGGCACCAAAACTAGCATCTGAATGAACTTCAGTGGCAGAGTCTTCGCCGGGGTGAAGTATGAATGTGAACTCTTTCTTGTTCCTTTTTAGTACATTTTCTATTCTGCCAGCATGGAGCATATGTCATCACTCCAGCATTATAATGATCCCTTATTAACATTGTGCTTTTTTGTATTATTCCTCTGTTACTTCTCTGCAATTAGAAAGGATTAATTTGGAGCAGAATTTCCTAGTTTTACAGATTTCTGCCTCCAATTTCTTGCTGTGGAGTCTTTCTTAATGTAAGGGTGAGTTCTGTGTCACAGAACTCTGCTGGGCAAGGCTGTTAGAGTGGCCTGTGATTCATGAGCAGCAGGTGTGATAATGACTGTGACCCAATGAAAAAGGAAGGAAAAGAATGGTAATTTCTGAAAGGGAAGACAATGAATTTTCATGGGCAGCCACGCTCGTGAGATACTCTGGTGCCTTTGTATGGCTATTGACTAACTCTCATGCCACTGTTATGGTAGTTTTATGGGTGAAGGGCAGAACAATGAGACTGCTTTGAGATGTCTCAGGCTTATTCCATGTGGCTGCATCCTCTGTCCAACTGCAAGATGTTCTGTCCACACCCTTTCTCTTCTTTGGTTCCACTATGCTTGCAATGGGGAGAATTGATGTCTGCTGCTGATTATCTCAGCTTGTGTGAGGCAGAGAAGGAATGAAGCTGTTGTTAAACCTAGATCTCGTGCATGCTTGTATCTAGAAACTCTTGTTTCCTTTTGTCATCCTTTAGGAACAGAACCCTGGTCCTTCTATTTCATCAATGGCTTTCTGAATTTCAACGTGGCATTTATTTTGGCGCTGCTTGTGCTGCCATTGACTTGTCTCATGGAGTGTCTGCTTCAGAAATTTCATGGTGAGTGCAAGACAGCTGTGAGAGCCAAGCACAGGCAGCCCAGATCTCAGCCTTGTTGCTAAAGGGAGAGCTTTCCTGCCAAAGAGCAGCTTTGCTTTATTTGGAAGTGAAACTAGGTTCACAGAAAGTCTTTGGAGTAATAGGAAAGTTCTAGTGTTTATTATTCAGTCCAATATTGACTCCAGTTGGAGTTGCTCTATAGAAAGAATGCACAGTGAGATGCGTCTACTTATGTGTTGTGTGCAAAAGGACAGAAACATTTCTCTTTTTAAGGATGATTCCTGTGTCCTCTGCTTTCAACTCAGGAGGATCGGCGTGTTATCAAGGCTGAACTATCCATACCCAGAGTAAGCTTAGCAAGTTGTATGGTACATAACCGTCAGCCATACATGCAAGTGCATTAGAAATAACCCCATCAAAAATCTTAAGGGAGAAGGAAACTAAGTACCCATTGTTGTTTCCATCTTATCTGCCACTGAAAATGGTAATCTTTAGAGTTATTTGGAGAACCTTTTACTACCTCTTCCATTGCTGCTTTTTTATACCACTGTCATAATGATTTAGCAGCAGTTGTTCTGAGAGAACAGAGTTGTTATTTCCTTTTTGATTGTTGGGGCAGAGCCTACAACAAATGGGCATCCTCTGGTCTCTGCTGCTCCTGCCCATGTTGGGAGCAGCACTCTTCAGCTTGCAGGACTTAAGCTCTGGCAGGGCAGTCTTGATATCACGTCCTTTGGGAAGCCTTCCCCATAGGTGTGGATATACTGAAGTAGAGAAAAGAGGACCCAGAATATTCCCTACATCAGGTTGAGCTTTCTCTTAAATAAAATGCCATCAGTTTTAAAACATGACATTTGGCAATTGACTCTAGAGAAGAAAAAGGTGTTGAGGAAGTGTGAATTCTTCTTCACTGTTTTCCTAGGGAAGATTCATTAAGTGTCATCAGCAGCCTTCAGATTCATTGGTCCAATTACTGCTTCACTCTCATTTTTTTTACTGAATATAAGAAACAAAAGCATCATAATCCTTGCTGAAAATGTACGTTAACGGGTTTATTCCTTATATCTGTTCCTTTTATATAAGGGACATACTGTCAGAAACCAGTAAAAGCTCAATAGGAGATCCTGTAAACGCAAGATTTCCTGCTGTTCACTTGGTGCTCTTGTACTTAACAGCAGGAGCGATTCTGCCAACTGCTTTGTTCTTATTGTCTGTGAAATGCCATTAGCTTAATTGTTTAACTCTTTTGTTGGGAGCACCAAGGGGGCAGAGAAGGGACTGAAAATTGTCAGGCGCTGTAGAACCCTCCTCAGTGTGACTAAAATTCAGGGTAATTGTTGTTATTTTTGAATCGGTTATTTCCTCTGTTAAGCAGAAGGTGCCTCTGAGACCTCTCATGCTGTCATTTTTGTAATGAAGCAATGAAGGTAGTGGAAATTTCAGTCACTAAACAGCCATTTGTAAGTGGAAGGGTAGGTTCAGAGAAGATCCTATCTGATCTTTTCATGTGCAACATAATACACAGCAGGAAATCTAGTATTTCTGGCTGCCTGTTTAGACATGTAAATTCTTGATGGGTTGTGTCTTTTGCTTGAATTAAGTAACACAGTCCCTTATTTTCTGCTTTTGGTCTTCTAAAGTCTGTTGAAATTGTTAGCATTGTAGCAATCTACGAAAATCCTTAGATCAAATTCTGTACTCTGACTCTTTGGACATGTCACCTGGATTTTAGCACACAGCTGCTCGGAACATGGTGTGTTTGGGTCTGAAGGCAATGGTTTGGGTCTGAAAAAAAGGGAATTTTGATTGTGAGAATAAGGATAAACCCCTTATTCTTACATTACTGCTTTGCTGAGTGTTTGTTTCTTTCAGTTCAGAATCTGGGCCGTCCCTACTGGCTGACACTAGCTCCTATGTACATTTGGATCATGATTTTCTTCAGTCAGCCCCACAAAGAAGAGAGGTTTCTCTTTCCCATCTATCCCCTCATCTGCCTCTGTGGTGCTGTCGCTCTCTCTGCTCTTCAGGTAAGTTTAAGTGGAACATTTTTTTTAATGAGCTCATCCCTTTAGGAAGCATAACTGTCAAAGCACTCAGCTAACATTGCTTCCCAAAGTAAGGGAGCATCTGCAGAATATTTGTGTCTGTGACGCAGTCTGTAGTGATTACATAGTTCAGGACTGTCCTATGCATAACTTTTGATCATTGTCTTTAGTATGTTAGCTGGTACAATTTTGTTTTTGAACCATGTGTTATGGATAGGTCTGAGACTCTGGAAGCAAAAGCCACAGCTGTTCTAACACTGTGTGTGTCTTGCTGATTTTACAAGCTGAACCATAATCTTCCTCTGCAGGTTGATTGAGAGTATCTGGAAAACTATTAGCCCTCTTTAAGATGTGATGTAAAAGCAAAAATGTTTGGGATTTCCATCCCGAGTGTCATACAGAATGAACTCATCTAATAATCTTGGACTTCAGTGCAGACTGCTTAACAGCCCAGCAAAAAAAGATCAGATTTCTTGGCTTTATAAGGTGATCAGAAGTGAAGTCATAAATGTTTTTTGAAGATTTCCTTGCCGCTAATTATTTCATGATGAGTTCAAGTTGTTCTCTCATCCCAAGTGGGAATTTCTGGTGAGGAAAAGTTGCAGTGCTGTAGTGTCAACACAAAACAACATCCAAGAGATGTCATAAGGATTATTAACTTGTTATAGCATTGTGCCTCCTTTGTCTGCTATTAAGCAAACTTTAAGGGGTAGGAATGTGTGTATGTAGAAAATACATTTTGTTGTATTCTAGTAAGAATCCTTTGTTAATTTACAAAAGGAGAAGTGTTTAGGCATCTGGAAAATGCACTGGACATTTGAAAGAGCCAAAAATTGCATGTTTAGTAAATATCACTTGAAACACTTCACAGAGTAAAGCACTGATGTAGATTGATACAGATCTTTCCAAAGCTGAAAAGTATTCTTCTTTCCTCTGTTAGAGAGGTCCAGGAATGCAGTTACTGGTTTGTTTGAGCTTCTTTCAGCTGTTTGGCCTCATTCTGCTATTACTCCTCTGTCCTGCTGTGCACCACTGATGGCTGTTCTGTGCTGGGCTCCCCATCACCATTTCTTGCATCCCTCAAATCACTCTAACTCTTTCCCTGTTCAGTTGCTATTCTGACATTGGTCTTCCATCACTGCTGATGCTTTGCAGAGCTAAGCTGGAGCACTTCAGATGAGTTTCAGTCTTTACATTCGTACAGGGTCAAGCTCTGTAATGTCAGCAGCTTCATGGCTCTGAGAATTGCTATGTGCTGTCAAAACATTCATTGAGGGAGGTGATTTAGAACCTTTGCCAAATATGGCTTTAGGAAAATCTGTAGTATTTCTGTCCTGCATATTTTGACAGTTTGATAACATGTTGTCCAGTATTTAGTATCCAGCTGAGAGTTTAGAACTGATTGCCCACCAGTACAGGCTTGTCAGAGTCTACTCCTCTAAACCATGTGAATCTGGCTGTTACAAGAAAAACGCAAACAAGACAAGAGGAACAGAAACAAGATTAGGATAGGAAGTGAATAATCACTCTTGCAGAAAGGCAGAGGAGGAGGGGTGGACTAAGCCAAGTATGGATGTAGTTCTGGGTATTCCAAGAAAGGCTTTTAAAATAGTAAAACCTAAAGGGCTTTCCTTTAATAATTTCAGTGGCTCATGTTTAAAGGTGGATGCAGAAGGTGCTGTGTATTTTTATCCACTTCAAAGCTGTACTTTGTGCAGACAGGGTAAACAACCATAGGTCACTCAGTGAATCTGGGTCATGGAACTTCTGTTAGAGAGGAAGTCAGTCCAGCATTGAAAAAGATGCCTGTCTATGTAGGGAAGTACTACAGAAGTGCCTGAAAGGGACAGTTGCTGCTGGTTCACCTGGGAACAAGCAGGCTGGAGCCCTGGTAGAGAACAGTTCACAGTCTGAGTAGAGGCTTTCCTAGGGAAAAGAGCTGAGAATGTCTTTAAATACCTTAGATTATCCGTTAAGAAAAATGATTGAGCTGTGTGAAGTTCTGTGCTTTTTTTATGTGTCTGAGTGAAAAAAAAAAAGATTAAAGATCTCGTGGGAGGTGCAGGCACTGCTGAAAGGTCCTATAAAAACCAGAATTTTGCTGAAGATATCACAGTTGAAGTAATTTTGTGCTCTCTGTTTAATCCTTCCTCAGAAATGTTACCACTTCATATTCCAGCGCTACCGCCTGGAACACTACACAGTCTCCTCCAACTGGCTGGCTCTGGGGACTGTCTTTCTCTTTGGCCTTTTGTCCTTGTCACGCTCTGTTGCCTTATTCAGAGGTTGGTATATAAGATTTGTTCTGTGCTTTCTTGGGTATTGTTCTTGGCAAATCTTAAGGCCTGCCAAAGTTGTGTTGCTTTGTAGCAGCACAGTAGAGATAGGGAACCTTGTAACCTTGGGTGTCATTGAGGGAAAGGTGGGAGTTTTAATGGTCACCATTAATGAATGATTGCATGTGTGTCTTTGTATATGCATATTTGTATGTATATATTTGTAAGTATGTATGAATGTAAGTATGTATTATGTGCATATGAATGAATTACTAGAATTTTATTAGTGAAAAATCTGCCGCCTTTCACCTTCAGCAAGTGCAACTATACTGGTATAAAACCTGTATCCAGACCGGTATCAGAGCAGATACTGTAATTTTCAAACACGATCCCACTTGAAAAAGCAGTTTTCCATTTAAAACTTGTGATTAGGTGCATGTGTCCTTAATGTAGATAGATTAGATAGGGTCCTTAAGTACTTTCTTGAATCAAAGCCATGCAGTGAACCTTCTCATCTCATCAATATTTTTTTGCTTGATGGTAGCTATTCAGTCAGGACAGGAGAACATGAATAAGGGTGGTAGGGTACAAGCACTGCTAAATTGAGGGGGAGCTTTGGAATTCAGCCACTTTTTAGCATAGAGCAATTAATTTATTCAAGAAATTATCAGTTAAAAGGTTACATGTGAGCAATTTATTGTAGTCTTTCAAAAATAGTAATGTGAATGTCACCTATTTCTTTACCTTTATTTAAACTTTCTGCCTTCCATAGGCTACCATGGGCCCCTGGATCTCTACCCGGAATTTCACAGGATTGCTTCTGACCCAAGCATTCACACCGTGCCAGAGGGGAGACCGGTTAATGTGTGTGTGGGAAAGGAGTGGCACAGATTTCCAAGCAGCTTTCTCCTGCCAGATAAGTAAGTCATTTAATGTAAACGGTACAATTTGGTGAGATTCATAAGAAGGGGTGTTTCTTGTAAGAATTATTTATGGGAGTAACCTTCAAGACCTTGTGTATCTGATGACACCAGTCTATCCAAAACAAAGGGTTCTGAAGTTTGTTGTCAGCAGACTATGTTGGCCACGAGCTACTGAAAATTTGTAGTGTGACTGCTCCTCTAGCAGGTCTGCCTATCTTCAGGAATGAAATGTCCTTCGTTATGCTTTTGGTTTTCTCAATACAAAATGTTACTAGCTCCTGCATTTTCCTGCTGGGCTTTCTGACACTGTTCTCTGCAGTTGGCAGCTCCAGTTTATCCTCTCAGAATTCAGAGGCCAGTTACCAAAACCATTTGCCAAGGGACCAATGGCCACACGGATCATTCCCACTGATATGAATGACCAAAACAAGGAAGAGCCGTCTCGATATGTAAGGATTATATTCCTGTTTTCTTTACCTTACTGTATAATTTGTATTAATATAATGCATATGATTGGGTCTCCCCATTTTATTTCTGTGGGACTGTACAAGTCACAGAAAAAGATGGGCTCTTTGCAGTACTTGGAAATTTCCCCATTTATGAGTGGTTTCTGTTTGCGTTTTATCTGCTTATTTTTCATTTAAAGACAATAAAAAAGGAGAAGTGGAAGTAATAATTCTTACTTATTGCAATTTTGGGTTTAGTATAATGTGTTACTGTGATCACAGCAAAGTGAACTGAACTGAATGAGTAATTTGAAATCCCTCAAAGTGTTTGTCACTAAGCAGGGATTTAATTTTTCCTTTGTATTTTCCTTTCTTTTTAAATATAAATGTTTACACCATAATTGCAACTGAGAAGGAGGACTTAATTTGGAACTTTACTGAAACAATTCCATCAGTGATTTCAGTGGGAATCTGTAAATATACACTGGTGCTATGAATTTGTTACTTTGCTAGCTTGTATTGTGTAACCTAAAACCAGTGCACACATACGAATGTTAAAGTTATTGTCAGCTGTCTTCTTTAAAATTATTGAGCAGGTTAAATCTTAGCAGTGCACTAAATATTCTTTTCAGTTCAGTAAGTATTTAGTCATCCTTTCTTTTTTTGCCTAGAGGGTTGAATGAGAGGAACTGCCAAGAAATGCATCATATTTTCTTCATTCTCTTAGCACCTTGGAGGGTACCTTTGATACGTCTGTCAGTATATAGGAAGCACCCACATGTAATGGACCAGGTCTCTGGTTTACATGAATGATCTGGCTGAAGATGGTAAACATATACTTCATTATGTGGCTCCTGTCTTTGGTCTGTTAAGACATTGTACGAGCACTTTGCGATCTGCTCATAAAAGTGGATACTGTACTGTCACACAGGAGCAAATCTTGTGGGTAAAAGCAGGGATCAGTCTTCTGGGTTAAAACACTCTTATTTTGAGCCTCATTATGTAGTTACTGGAAATGGGAAGGAGGCGTGTTCCCACCTGAGAGAAGCTGTCTGCTGCAGTGTATTTAATTTACCAAATCTTTAACTGTGGCATATTTTTAGCACAGACAGCTGGCTGGTGCACAGCCTGTGACTAATGGAGCAAAACACACTTTTGTTTCATGGTTGTGTCTTAATGTCACCCTACAATTTTATTATTTCTTATGCAAGCAAAAGGGCCTAGGACATTAGAAGTTAGCTACCAAATGTGAATTTTAAATCGACTCCTAAAACTCTTTCTTCTGGCCTGCTAATGACACCAAGAGGACAAGATCTTTTTTTCAAGCTTAGAGAGCTTGTAAGTGCAAACACACCCAGATTGCTTTAAAAAAGAAAAAGTTACCAAGCGCTGGAAAGGACCATCATAGCAAATAAATCTAAACAGCATGAGTCTATTGGTCATTTAAAGGGGGGAAAACAAATAATTTAAAAGGATTATTTGAGCCACAGAGCTTAAAACCAATTAATGGCTACAGAAACAGGACTGATCTCTCAGTTTCAGGTGTAAGTCTTTATTACTGCTCTGCTTGAAAATTGAAGAGTAAATCTTGGTGTTTCTGTTGCCATGAGACACTGGGGAAAAGAGTGATTTATCTTCTTGTTTTGCAATTCTTCCTTCTTTAATCATGTTGAACAGCACTTTACTTGTACTTGTCCTATTTGGGAGATGCATTTGTCTCTGAAACTGCTAAGAAAGAGATAAGGAGCATTGTTTCTTACAAGGATGTATCCAAGCAGAAATAGTACGTAAGGCCTAAAAGCTGAAACTGTTAAAAACTCCTCCCTTCAGAGTTTGTTGAGCCACTATTTTCACTTCTTTTCCAATTGCCTTTAGCACTGTTTTGAATGGTAGAAACCACCTGAAGCTTGGTCCTATTTTTTGAAATATGTGTTTGATCAGTAAAAAGTCTCCGGTTTTGCTCAAAACAGTTGAACTTTAGCTGTGGTAAACCAGACAAGCTCCAGCTGTACTCAGACTGGCCAGGGTAGCATCCATCCAGACACCGAGACACATTTGGCTACAGCAGCAGGCTGTGCCCTTAGCTTCATCTCTGTGCTATACTGTGCCCACTCCTGTTATTCAGGATGTGATCAAATTCAGTTCTCCACCACTTAGCCTAGCAGTTACATTGAATAAAGGAAGAATGAGAGGAGGAAAAGGAAAGGAGAACAGAAGAGGACAGGATGTAATTCCTTACAGTTCTGCTCACTAAAGCTGACTTGTTTCTACAAAGAAACATTTCAAGGTCTGTACACCACTAAAGTCTTGTGTAAATCCCCAAATAAATACATACGTGCTCTGTTTGCTCTCTGACTAGGATGAATATTATCCTTAGCTTCAGCGTAACTTGAAAGAATGCACTCTGCTCTACTGGCAGTGGTAGAAGGGAAATCTTTCTTTCACCTGGCGGAAAATCCCTATGCATTGGAAGTACCAACCCTTTAGGGAGCATTTAGAGCGACAGAAGAGAGATCAGCCTTAGAGCTTGAGGCAGTAACTTGTCTTTCCCTGAATGATTCTACATCACTTAGAGGAAAACTTCATTAATGGTTTGGGAGTCTTTTTGCTAATGAGCCAGAACCTCTCTCAGAGCCTGGAATGTTCTCTCATACAGTGCAAGTGGATTCAACATTCTCCTCAGCTGAGTTTCCCATGGTGTGATCTCATTTACCACTCAGTTTTGATGCCACAGAGCCATCTGGTATCCACCTGATAGAACTTGCTTTGCTCCAGTGGCTGAATATCATTATGCCAGCAAAAGCCTTGCTGCTGTCTGCTGCATTGTAATAATATAGCTACCTCGGTGCACTTTAAATATGTATTAGGCTTGGGATTAGTTCACTTCTGAAAATGTGACATAGATCACTTAAAGACAACTAGATCTTCAACAGGAGGACTTCAGCCCTTATTTGCAACTTGTTCTCTCCTCTAGATGTCTTGCACTCAGTGCAGAGGTTTCTACACAATGTAGCCTCTTGCTGGACTACCTTGTATGAAACTTGCCTCTAATGGATATTAATCAAGTTTGTCCTGGTAGGAGCTCAAGTTGTCTTTGCAGCTGAAAGTTTGTATTGTCTTGGCAGTTATTCCTCAGCAACTATGGGGGTACCTGTGAGGTGGGGGCTGTTAGCCAGAAAGTATACAGGGTATTTGTATAAATGAATAGTACATCCTGTTCGTATCCAAGAGCACTCTCCCCAGCAGGAAAGAGAAGGTTGCATAATGTGAATCTTCTGAGGACATTGCCCACAGCTCATTTAGCTGGGCAGTCACATGCATAATTCGTGTGACGCTGCTTCCTTGAAGTGGTACTTCCTCAGAGAGGGACCCTAGAACTCTCCTCCTTAACCACACCAGTAGCGGTAGTCTGTGTTCCCTCAGGAAGTTTTTGCTTGAAAATGTTCAGAATATTTTACCATGTGTCCCGCATGAAGCATTTCACCCATTGCTAGAAATTTAACCCCTTCTCATTGATAAGTAACAGCCTGTATGAATGAGCATATACAACCAGAAGGCTACAGGGAATAAAACAGACAAATGTCTGTCTTTCTGCAGATTGACATTTCCAAATGCCACTATCTCGTGGACTTGGATACAGCAGCTGAAACCCCAAGGGAGCCAAGGTACTCTGCCAACAAAGAAGACTGGGTAACCGTTGCCTACAAGCCATTCCTAGATGCTTCCAGGTATGCTTTACAGATTTGAGAGGGAGGGAGAAAGACTGGAAAGTCTCTGAACTAATTCTGTTTGGTTATCTACTTGCAAAAGTAGTTGTGTATAGGGGGGAAAGATACATTGGCAAATGCTAGCTTGTAATCTAGTTTCCAGTAAAGGCGGCTTGCTGGCTACAGTGGAACCTTTGTCAAACTTCTGCTTGCAAAATTGATGATTTAGGTTGCTTTGAAGGGTGAAGCAAGCTGGGAAGGGTGTTGAGAAGGATTATTTTTGAAAAGAACCTTCCATGTGCAATTCTTGCTGAAGTAATGTTTTTAGTTTTGCTTTCTAAGGAGATGAGGTGTAGTTTCCTCCAACAGACTTTTGAATCTGCTGACTTGTTCCAGCTAAATTCAAGGCAGGTGTAAGTCAGTCTCAAAGAGCATGAGGTCTTAAAGCTTTATGAAAGGTGGCAGGCAGAGAGAGGAGGCAGTCTCGTCAAGTCAGCAGGATCACACCTTTATTAGGCTTCAGAGAATCCATGGGAGAGACTTGTGTTAGAATATGTTTTTTGTTAGTTCTGCTGCTCACTGAACAACTTGCTTGTGTGTTTGAACAGGAACTTCTGTGAGAAACAGAGATTGCAATTGCTCTTTTTCAGGCTAATAAGGGGTGGAATCAGGGTTGTCAGAGTGGTAATGCTGTTAATACATTCCTGAAAATACAGAAACTCTCAGCTGTAAGGAGATGGTTATTTCACATAAAGTCATTTCAAGCTCTGGTCACGTGTCTGTCACAACAGGACAGTTCTGTAAAAAAAAAAAATCTCTGTAAAAAAAAAAAAACTAACGGAGAGTTCAGTGCCCTCCTATTTTCTATGTGAGACCTTATTACTTCCTAGTAATAGGACCCTCCAGAGAGGGGGGCTGGTAAAAGCAGTTGAACAGTGAGAAAGAGTGATAAGGTTAGAGCAGCTCCCAGGAGTGCTCTTATGTTCCCAGCTTGCTGACACAAACAAGTTTTTTTGGCAAGGTCTTTTATGAACTATGTTTTCCAAGAGACCTGCTGTTACATTTGGGCAGGACTTTAGGGAAGGAAAATGAGATGGCCAATGAGTCTTGTTAATGAGGCAAAAGAAGCATCTGTGTTAAGAGTTTTACAAAGGACTCTTTGTGCAAAGCATGTACTCCTGCATGTGCCTTTCTGCTTTTAAGACACATTCATGTGTTTTTAAAGCTGGTTTATCCTCTGCTAAACAGCCAAGCTTTGATTGTTTGGACCGCATCTAAAGTCCTTTGAAGTCAATCAGAGGTACTGAGTCATGTCCAAGTGACCCTTTAAGCTACCTTGGCTTAACCATGGGGCTGTAATGCTGGCTGGAATCAGTGCAAGGAGTTAAGCTGGAGTTAAACACACAGCTCGGTAATGAGCTGAGTCTTTGTCACTCTCTTCACTGCTTTAATGCTGTTTCTGCAAGTCACTCATGACATTTTTCTTTCTTCTTTTCCCCTTCTTATTGGGAAATTGATAGCCCTAAGGAATTTCCCTACTTACAGCTAAACCCCTGCATCCTGCCACGCATCTGTCTTGCTGCTTATGAATTTAGCTGAATACATAGGTAGATGTGGTGGTGCAGCTCTGTACTTCTAGGGGAAATGCTGTCAAAGTACTTCCTGCTAGACTGAGGCTGGTAACTTATTCCTAAGCTTGGCACTGCAAACCTGTGCAATCATTTTGATTTGGTATATGATACTGTGTGCTGCATTTAGATCTCAACTCCAGCTAGATTCCTAAGCTGTATGCTTCTTGTTGGCTAACTGTCTCTGCAAGCCCACAGCTAAAATCTGCTAACCCACTCAGTACAGGGATGTTGATTTCTGTGTGTGGTCCTTCATGTCTGGCTTGTGAAGGGAGAGTGCATGTGACTGTTACCACTGGAAGTAATAGCTTGGCTTGTTATAAAGGTAGCATCTCACTATGGAGCAGCAGGGAGTTGCAGGGAGATCCTGAAACTTCAGAGCATTCTGACTCTGTAATGATGAGATGTAAAAGGAGAATACTGACGGTGGGGAAAGCAGAACATACTTACTGGCTATGCAATTGGCAAGACCTTAGAACAGATCATCTAAAGGTGATGGGGAGGAAAGAGGATCTTTCTAGCTGCTGTGTCCTCCTTAACAAAAGATGCTGTTGCGCTAGTGGGAGACTGGAATAAAAGAGGGTTTGCAGAACGTGTCCCAGGAGGCGATCAGGCAGTAAGACCCTTAGCCCTGCTGGTGTCGCCTGTCAGCCTCCTCTGCTCCTGCTCTTGTTCTGCATGGAAATTCTACATGATGTTCCTTACCAACGGCTCACAGCTGGAGGAGAGGGGAGGTGTGCTGCCTTCACCAGTGGAGGAGGCCAGGTTGCCATAGCAGCAGGTCTGATTTCCATTCCTGCTGTTAGTACCTTCAGAGCTCCTGCAATTTGGAGCGCTGGGCTCTGTCCCTTCAGCAGTCGGCAGGTGGGGCAGCTTGAGGGCACAGTGCTAGTGAAAGACTAGAAGGTCATGTGCATACCTGGGGCGGGTACCACTGGTGCTGAGAGAACCAGCAGTGTCTCCTCATCTTGTCACCCTGCTTGTCTGACAGATTCTCTTTCCCCTGAAGAAGAACAGTAAGCCAGAAACCATGGCCTGTCTGACTTGGTCATGTATTTTATATTTCTTTCTGTAGTTTGGCCTTTGGAGAAGAGGTAGGGTGGATGAGTGATACAGGTGTTCAGCTGAAACTTGGTGCTCCCTCGTGTCTGTCCAGGTCTCTTAAACCTTCCCTATGTTGCAGTTTCCCACTTGAACTAAAAGTTTATTAGCTTCCCACTAATCTCCAGGAGTTTGTTGGCAATGAATGAAAGAGTGGGGAGCTTCAACTCTGTAACAGCGGTGGCAGGTAAATACCTATCCGTTGTTTTGCATCTGAGTATTGGCATTTTGCTGCAACATCTATACAGAGGGTTTGCATTTCTGAGCATGTACCACCCCTCTCCCCAGCTCAGCAGAATGACACATCTCAAATCTGGCACCTGCTTCCACACAATTGTGAAATGTCCCCTGCTATTTATGAAATGAAGTACAAAACACTATGAAAATGCAGCCTTTTTAACAAAAGGCAAGGTGGAACACAAGTGTCACTTCAGAACCTTGCTGTGAGGGGAGCTGCCAGTGTAGTTTTCAGGTCTGTAGCTCAGTGGCTGCAGAGAAAGGAGCATTTGGGGGAAAAATTCCCATCACACACCTCCCCCCCCTCAACCCTGAACTCCAGCTCTTGTTCTTTGAAAATAAATGACCCCAGCAGTTCAATTCACTCCTGCTGAACTGGAGGCTTCTGGGACTCACTGCTAGTCTCACATTGACGTCAGCAAGTGCAAATGTAAATCTCAGCTGGCTCTGATAAATGGTGCTGCTAATTGAATTAGAGAGCACTCCAAGCCACCAGCTAATTATGCTCCTCAGGAAGCTGCTTTGCCAAGGTCCATTTAATTCTATATTGGCTGAGCACTCCGAATCTGGCACAGAAAAGGGGAAATATATTACAGCTCCCCACTGAGGGGTACATATTTTCCAGCTCTTTAGGCTGAGCCGTCTGCTTACTCCAAACGCTTGGGTTTTCCATAGAAAAAAAATATTCTTAGTGCAAAATTAATGATTCGGTCACGTTGTTCTAACATATCATTACCCTTGTTTGATAAAAGGCTTTGTTTCATTCCCTTTAATGGTGCTTTATTCCATGTTACATGACATGTTTTCCCTACTTTTGTTTTATGAGTGGCTAAATTACTTCTTAGGTATATTGTTGGTACAAAGTTTAACGCATAGAGGAAATACAGACATTAATGAGGTTTCAGAGAGCTTTGAGCATGAGTTTCCTGTGTATGCCTATAGTTAAAGGTACTAGGTCCTGCCCATGTGTCAGACGTTCAGCATCCTCCTGCCTCTTCTTTTTGCCATTCCATTCTATTCGTTCTTCTCATGCTTCTTTCTGATTTCTGTTGTTTCTGGGGTAAGAAGTTCAGGCTACAAGATGCAGTTTGGAAAAATCTCCCACCACTGTATTTATCTAACTAACTGCTTCCATTCCATGTCAGTCTGGCATACTCACTTAGCAGTCCTTGCTTCCATTCCAGAAGAGCCTACACTGACATTAGTAGAACAGGACTTTGAGTTGCTTTCTCCTGAAGTCCGATAGGTAACTGACAGAAATACCCTCAGTACTAAATGGCACTGTGGTTCTAGCTCTTCTCAGCCTACTGGTGAATGAGCACCTCTATCCTAACTGGGAGCTTCTCTGGGTGCTGCAGCAGTCACTCCGCTAGAAACAAAAAAGCTGGGAAAGAATTCAGACCTCCCCTGGAATGTGGGATACCTTCTGTGTCTGGAGCACAGCAAGAGCTGGGCAGAGTTCGCCTGTTGATTAGCTCCAGCCTAACACCCACTGCTGAAGGAGCCTTGCTGCATCTCTGTTCCAGTAGCATGGCACGATGCTCTTGGCTACCCAGCTTGGAGTGATTGTGGCCTTGATCTTGGTACCAACATGCTGCTTTGGAGCTCTATGCTGATTAAGGCTACGCACCCTCACAGTCTCTGGGGGACAAATTTAGAATCAAATGCAAATAGAACATTATATATATTCACTGTCATCCGCCATCCCAACCCCTTCCATGTGCCATCTGTTGTTTGAGATTGCTGAGCCTGACAAAGCAAGGTGACAGGAGGTTAAGGTTCCATGTCTGAATATAAAGCTCAATCATGACTTTGTGAGCTGTAGGTGCATCAGCAGCTATGGTTCTGATATGGCTGCTGCTGAAAGGAGGCATCCAGGGCTTTGCTACTCTATAGTTACCAGCAGCAGAGAGAGCAGCCTTGTGCTTGTGTCCAGTCTGAATCTCTTTTCAGCGATAAAGTTGCTGGTGAACAAATGCAAAGGCTGACCTTACAGCTCTGGAGCAGATGTTGGTGCTACCTGTTTACCATGCCGTATTCAGGGTTTCATATTTTTTTTCTGAGATGTTATTCTCTGAGCACATGAATATTATTATTTTTCAGATGCTTCTTTTTTATGTTGCCTCTTTTCATCTTGTATCCTTAGTCTGGGTAATTGGAACCAATGTAAACTGTTCTCTTTTCACTTTTGTAAGTCTCGTTAGTGAAGAGTCATTTTTCTATGGCACCAGCAGCCTGACTAACACCTGGTGGAAACCAAGAACTCCTTCACAGTTTGAGTAATACATCATTTCACTTTTGGGGTCTCTTCTGGCTAAATGAATTTTACAGCTCTTTGTTCCAGGAGCACGTACAGGAGGGAGGGGGGAGGAGTACAGGATTGTAGATCAGGTGTGGCCTTTATGTACTAATTCACTGGATTGTTATTTGTCATGAGTACCTTGGCATTATGTATGACATCCAGTGGTGGGAAGAGCACCTATCTTTTTGCTCTATGTTTCTCATCATTTTCCACCCTCAGTATTTTTTCCCATCAGTCATTCCTGCCTCTCCTTTTTACAAACAGTGTTCTCCCATTTTACTGCTGATGTAAACTGTGAAGCAGTGAACACTGACATTTAAACTGCTGCTAGTAAGGGCTGAGTTACCAGCAAAGTTAAGAGCATGTTTAGACCTTTTGTTGCTCAGAGCTGTTGTTTCAGGCCGTCTGCAACCTCGGGGTAGTTACACTGAGCTGGCTTATATGGGAGGATAGTTTTGCTACTATCAGCTCCTGGAATATCCTTTTGTTCTAAAAAGCAAAAGCTGAATCCTGCACATTCTCAACATATGCCATAAAGACCACAGGAGCACAACCATGTGAGCTGCATTGGGCCTGTCTTTCAGAATGCTAAAGAAGTAAACGGTATAAGGAGTGCTTCTCACAAAAAGTGTAAAGAAGAGGCACTACAGACAGGATAGTCGTGTTTCTGCAGAACTGTGAGGGATACCAGCACTGAGGGTAAATACAGGTGCTTAGTTTCATTTCATCCAGCAATTAGACCCACCATTACTGGGTGCCCAGTGTGCTGTACAGTGCTGGCCTGGGCAAGCAGCCAGTATGTAGATGCATCCAGGTCAAGGGGAGGATGTGAAGTGGCTGCTGTTGTCTGAGGCTGTCAGCTCTGTGTCTTCACTGAGCAACTGAAAGCATTTTCAGTGCTACAGACTGTATACTTGGGACCTCAGGCATGAGCTGAAGGTGCTGCCTTCGTCTCTGTCCCTGAGCTGAACCACACACGATTATTTGAACAGATTACTTCATTTTAACCCAAACACACATCCTGAGCTCTGGGGATTTTGGCTAGTTTCTGTACCTTTCTTAGGATGTAGCAGCAAGCTGGTACTCTACCTTGTTTTTCATTTTCCTTCTTGTAAACAGCATCCCAAGCAGCTGGAACACAATTGCTTTTTCTTGTTTTTCTTTTCTTCTGCTTTGCTAAAGGGAATTGAAATGAAACCACACCAGTCACAGATAACAGCCATGGTAGCAATGGCGGGTTGTCAGCCTCAGAGGAGGAGATGCCAGAATAAGTTCAGTAGTGACATGATGTTCATTAGCCACAAGAGATGGAGGAGGCAAATCAAGCATTTGTTTTCAAAGGGATGCCTTTGCTTCTAGTGACTGGCAGGAGGGCTGACCTCCAATTTCCAGGCACAAGGAAATGACAGCTGCAAAAACTGTTCCTTGTTCAGAATACACCAAAATTACCATCTTCTGCATAGTTATTTGCTACTAAGAGATTCTGCTTTGAACACGTTCTGATTCCAGCACCTCAGGAATTCACAAAGAGCAGCCATTTCCAGTGATTCTTTTATTTAGAAACTTTGCTGGGTGCTTTACAATTTGTAAAGAGCCTAAGTATTATCACTGAGCTTTTTTGTTCTTGCAAGTGAAGCAATCAGCATTTTCATATCCTAAAGCATAAGCCCAGTGTTTGGCAAAAAGCAGGCCTACAAGATGCTGGATCTTGAAAGGAGGCAATCTCACAGTTAGGAGGACTTGTAAATTTTAGGAATTCAGACTTGTTCAGCTGAGGGTAGATAATACTTTCTGCCTCAGTTTCTCCTCGCCAGTGTGGGAAGAATACTGTTTAGTCTGTCACTTGGTTTAAAGAGGGAAGATTTCATTTGACAAAAATGCCTTGCTTTGTGCTTGTATGGCATCTTGCGTAACAGGACCCTGCTGCTGAGTGGTGCTATGCCGATGCAAGTAGGTATCACCAGTCTTTTCCTGGACTTTTACTCCAAGTTGCAGATTAATTACAGTAAGGCTGTCTAAGAGCCCTAGAAGCCTCCAGGGAGATGCAGTTCACAGTGGCAGTTCCTGCCATTGTTTTTTTTAGGCTGCATTTTTGAAAGATATCCAGTGCTGTCCTATAATAAGCAAACAAAACACATTTCAGCTTTCTTCTGAAAAAGCGACTTGAATTGGGTGTCCAGAACGTTGGCTGTGTTACCAGCAAAGCCATGTGAATTGCAGTGACTAGCAAGTATGTGCTCACCGTACCATCCCTGACCACTTAGCATGCTGCAAATGAAATTTGAGTGCTGCTGCTGCTTTTCCAAGCTTTATGTGGATGGAGTTAGAGTTATGTCTGTGAAGGGTAGATAGTTTACCAACAAGTTGATTTTGAAGAGAGAAACTTCAATGCAGAGTAAGCAAGACTCCGCTCCAGCCCTGTTTTCAATAAATTGCTCAATTTTTGAAGCCTCTAGCAAGGTTCAGTGTTGCTGCTGAAGGACATTTTGTCTGCTTCACATTTAAACCTGGATTGTACTATTAGTTTGCTCAGTAGAGAATACATGCATTTAAAATGTACTCAGCTAGCACAGCTCCAGCAATTAGCAGCCAAACAAAAAGTACTAATTTGATGGAGCCATTAAACCCTCCATGCTTGAGTACTCCAGTGGTTCAGTTGTTGCAAAGTGCTGTGAAATGCCAGCTCCCAGCACCAGCAGGGCATGGAGTGAATGCTGGCAGCCTGCGGCCAACTCCCTTGTAGGCTTTAGAGCAGTCCATCCCTCTTTAATTCAATACCTTCAACACAAGAGCAAAACTTCAAAATGCCAGTGCCCATCAAAGCTTCTGTCTGCCCTCCAGACGTGTGGAGGAATAGGCAGCCAGAAAGACTGGCTAGAAAAGAGGAGATGCCAGGAGCTAAATGCAGCCTTGCTATTTTCACCTTCATAGTGTGCCCTGAGGAATGGGAGGCCTGTCTCTCTGTGTGATACCAAAGGGCTGTATTGCCTGCTTTTTGGATGGTGATATCTGGGATCTAAGTTTATTTCAGTAATTACACCACCTTCCTGCTCTCTCTCCCTGCTGACCCTACTGGAATGGAGAGTCAGCATGCTGAAAAACTGGGCAGGCTGCTGCTCTTAAACTGATGGTGCTGGAACTAACCAGCTTCGGTCCCATTGACAAGGAGAAAATGGAGCTGGGCTTTGTATGCCTGAACCATTAGCATTCCTCATGTCACTGACTCACCAGCCCAAATCTTTTGCAAAGCCTCATTTGTACCATTTTGACCATACAAGCAAATGAGCACTCTAAGGATGATTTGTTTTTTCCTCTCTGGTTTCAGGTCCTCAAAGCTGCTGCGTGCATTCTACGTCCCTCTCCTCTCAGAACAGTACACATGGTATGCAAACTATACTATCCTGAAAGCCCGGAGGTTGAAGCAAACCAGGAAAAAAATGGGAAGCTAGCAACACACCTGGGCATCAAAATCAAGGGCATCTGCTGAACACTCTTGGACAACTGCCTAAGCCATCTTCAGTCCCCTTTTTGAAAGACTGTGCTTATAAGATTCATGAACAAAGATTTCCCATGAAGTGATTTCACTCTGCAAGCTTCCAGCTGTAAAAAGGGTGCATCATCTGCTTTCAGTTCTCGGTGTCAGGTCTCAGCTCTGCCTACACGGAACATATTGGTAAGAAACCATTTGAAAATCCAGCAGCCACCTACGAACGTATTATCCCTGCTGCTCCCTGTGTTATTATATATTACACCAGAGAAGAGAAAGATGGAAAAGAAAAAGGAATGACAGTGTGAGGTTCTACTCTAGGTTGCAATCGGGCACTGGGAAAATCCAGCTCAGCCTCTCTCTCCCACTGCCCCACATCCACTGTCCTCATCCGCTTAAGTAGTGGTCACCTTCTCCTGTGGAATTATTTTCAGGTAACAACATTTAGGATTTTTTTTCTTAAAAAAACAAAAGCAAGGGGAAGAGGAAAACACCTGAGAGACAATTAACTGCCATGCACTGAACCTCAAGGAATGAAGTAGCACACACCACAGAAAGAGCCTGAAGTTGCTCTGTCCAGGAGACACTTTCAAGGATGTGCTTTTGGGATAAAACCCCTCAAACTTAGGAGTTGAATCAGTTATCTGCTTTAATGGAATCCAGGGTGAGGGTTTTATGTGTGAAAGCAAGGGTTTGTTTGCTATTTGTAATGATTTTGTAACAATACCTGTAATATCCTCTGAATTCTAGACTACAGCATCTTAAAATTTCTGGAAACATCCAGAGAGGAGAGTAAGGATTAAACCTTTTCTTTGCAGTTCTGTTTCCCAGAATAGACAGTGTGTGTTAAATTAGTACAATATGCTTCAGAGCAATGCTGTATTTATTATATCTCCATTTTTAAAACATGCAGTATCAGAAGCTAGATGGAGTTGTTTTCACTCACATCCTTGGATTTCTGTGGGGAAGAGATGGCATGAGATGGAGCAGAGAGGAAGTTCCTTTTCCCAAAATGCTGCACAACCTCAGTGCTCCACTGTGATTAGATTGGTGTGTGTGTGCAGTGACAGAGCAGGTGGATCAAGAAGCAGATCTGTATGTTTGGAAGCTGTTAGGATACAAACAGTAGAGCATGTGCCTCTGAAGATACATGTGTTGGTCCAGGTGCAGAATGCAGTGCTAGGGAGGTTTCTTGGGTTGTCTGCAGGTTAACAGCTGAGCAGGATGTGAAGGACAGGCTCTACCGATGAGGCAGTGATCTAACAGGCTACTACTGGGACAAAGCAGGAGGAACTGGATGAGGAGCAAGGCATGGGTTGAATATATCAAATGAAATAAAATATCACCCTTCATAAGAGTCAAAGGTGGAGTTTCAAGGTTTTCGTCCAAGAAACTGGTGTGTTGGCTGAGTTGGTCTGGAAGCTCAGAGTCACATTGCAGATCAGTGGTGCAGTGTCTGTCTTCATACTATTCCCCCACATACCTCCAGCTGGCTCTACCCCTCATAAAAGTTTACATATGTGGAACAGGGCTTTATGGTGCCTGTAAATCAAAACCAAAATTCTTGCCCTGCTTGTTGCCTCTCCCTTTGCTAATCCTGACCTTAAATCAAATAAAGAAACAAATGCACCTCTCACTGGTGCTGTTTGTGGACTGTTCCATGTTGTCATAGCCCGTAACCTCATGTTTAATGTGAAAAGACAGTGCAGTAAACAACCATTTCAAATTACTGGCAGCTCCACCTTCCTCTCCAGGTTGGGGTGGTGGTGGTGGGAGACTGGTAACTTGACAATAATTAGGAGTTATCAGTGTTTTCCAGAGGAGTGCAGCTAATGGTAGTAAACATAGGTGCAGCTCCAGGTAGTGGACAGCTGGAGAGCTTTGCATTCCAGACTTTCAAATCAAGCCAGGGACTCTGTTTTGCTGTTGTCTGCTATGCAGACAGGTGGAGTCAGTCCTGGAGAATCTGCAAGCTAAAGAGATGAGGCAGAGAAAGAGAAGGTTGTTGCTGTTGTTTGATGACAGGAGTAGGTCATGTTTTAATGCTGATTTCATGGGGAAGTCTCAGTTCTGCAAAGAACTTGACCCAGCAACTCATTTAAGGTCACACGTGAAGTCTGCCTACGAGTTCTTTCTCATCTAGTGAGTCTTTGGCACAGAACCAGCTTTCCTGGCAGCAGGTGAAAGAGCCAGGGCCTCTCTTCCTTTAGTCCCTGCTAAAGCATAATTGTCAGGGGTAGTGCTACCAGGCAGCCAGGATGTAGCATATAGGTAATCTATCAATCCCATCTGAGACAACTGGGAATTGCTGCTAATTTTTTGTTTCTATCATAACAATTGAGCCATAGGTGAGACTTCTGAAATATTAAATGCTCCATCATGTTTTCATAATTCACAGGTCAGGACTATTGCACTCTGTGCAGTGCTAAGATTAAGCAAATAAAAAGAGCAGTAGCAAGGAGATTGCTAGGAAATAACCACATTTGATGGAGTGAGCAGTACAAGTCCAAGGAGCATTTTCATTGGAAGCTGAGGAGGAGACTAAGAACTGCCTACCCAACTCAAGTTTAGCTGAATAAAGGATCTTGCTTTTTGAATGTGGATGTGGATGCAAAGAAGTTTGTGCCAAAAGGTGGAGCTGTATCCAAACCAAAACATTTTAAAAGGTATTTTGTAGTTTGCTTTTCTGCTTTTGTTAGCAAGATCAAGGGAGGGGCTTCTTTCTTGTTTTATTATTTTTCTTCTATTTTTGCTTTGACCCTAATTGAAGCTAATGTATGATCTCATGGTGAGAAGGCAGGTTTGGGACAGCTAGTTTATGATCTTTGTTAGAAAATAAATCAAGTCTTGTGGTTTGTGAGCTTGTGGGTAAAGGGTCAAACCACAAATTGCTGATCTGTCTCAGCTGGATTCCCTGCCTAGAATTGCCTCAGGCAGAGAGGGGTGTTGTGACCAAACCTGTTTGGTAGCACATCAGGACTGTGTAGGCAATCCACCTTTGTCTCCTTTCTGACTTTGGAGAAAGGGCTCTTTGTATTATTCGGGCTGGTTCTGGAAAAGAAGGTATCTAGATGGCTTTCTACAGTGATGCTAGTGTCCGACCTGATACACTGACAGAAGCTGGTTTCTTGATAGATCAATAGATGGGCACAACCTCGTGGTCGTGACTGCCTTGATCAGGTGTCTGAAGCAGAGAATGTACAGTGGTTACAGTATTTCTGGCTTCCTCTTTGCTGGCAGTATTTCTGTAAACTGAGGCAGAGAGCACTGCAAGTTGGACAAGTGCTGCTATGAAATACTGGGACCCAGTAAATTTCATCTTGTCTGAGCTCATCCAGCCTTTGTAACAAGGAGCACCAGCAATGAAACAGATTGACACTGTCAGAAATAGGCTGAGGGAAGTCACGATTTCCACAGAACTATTTTTTTCTGCTTGTCTGCTGCAGAAGGATTTAAGGTCCCTTTCAGTTTTGCTCCTGCTTTCTCTGCCTGTTCTGGGGTTGAACTGTAACCTGCTCCAAAGGCAGGTGTATGTGTAAGCTAGTCATCGTCACCTACGGGTTTGTCTGGGCTCAGGGGAACATCAGAAGAGGGCGCTCCTGGACTCAACCATGTTTCCAAGGATGTTCAATGTAAATTTGCTCTTGTTTTGAAAGGAGAATAAAAAGGACACTGCATCTCCACAGGGATGATACTTATGCTTTTCTTGACTCAAGGTTTTTTCCTGTTTGAAGTTTTTTGTCTTTTTTTTTCTCTAAGAAAATTACTTGAAATAACAAACTCTTAGAAGCCAGGAGCTGAGAATGTGTGTGAAGAAGTAGGGGCAAAGGAGTTGAGGCATGTGGGGCAGATACCTTGGACATGAGTAACAGTTAATGAAATGTTGAAGCCTGCGTGTAGACGGGGAAGGCATCAGACTGACTTAGCTGAGGATGCCCCAGGCCAGCTATCAGGTGTGACTGGCAGATCTTCACAGGAGCTGGTTGTTCTAGGATAGGTACATGGCATATTGACAGCTGGTCTGTCATGTCAGAGCGCAGCTGCTGTTTGGCAGCTCTTCTCTCCATAGGAATGGGGAAGCGCTTCCATGTTGCATTGCCAATGTAAAGGAGATTCCTGTAAAGCATGGTGGGGGAACATGATTTCCAAAGCAGACTGTGTATCCTCTGAGTGATAGTGAATGGACTGGACTTGGGGTTTGGTACCTGGGACAGTGATGGTCAGTGGTCAGATATGGTCAAATAGACCTGCTGTTCTTCTCCCCTAATCCCCTGCCTTGTTTCTAGGGAGCCTAATGCTTAGACAGTTCTTAGTTGTGGCTTTACTGGTAAGTACGCGTACTAAGCTCAGAGGCAGGGACTGTCTTAGCATTTGACTTCACCTTTCATCCAACAAAAGGTATCAAGTTAGAGGGTTATATGTTTATTTTGTTGCTGTAAGAGGGCTTAAAGTAGCAGTGGAGAGAAGCCCTGGTAACAAAACTCTGTGGTTTGAGTGCCTAGCTCTCCAGGCACTGCTGGAGGAAAGAGCTGTGAATTTCTTTCTCCTCCAGCAACTGTCAGAACCTGAGCATCATCCCAGCCTTGCTGAGATTCAGCGCATGTCCCCGTGAATAACTGCACGTCTCTAGCTGCTTGCCTGGAGAGGTACTAACGAGGCCCCATCTGTCTGCTTTGCAAACTCCAACTGTGTCTGCTAAGCAGCAAAAAAAGGTCAGGCTGGACGTACAAGGTGAGAGAGCATCACCCTAGCAGGATTCCTGATCAATGCAGTCTTCTGCTGCCTTCCTACCTGTTCTTCATCCAGAGGGGAACTGCTGTACAAGACTGTAGAACTGCAACCAGGACAGGACAGAGTTTTGTTGTAGGATCAGTGAAGAGGCAGGGCCTGAGGCTGGATGCAGGGGTGGAGTTTCCCTTGTTGCCTCCAAACAAGTGCATATGATTGGATGCCTCACTAGAGACTAGACTAGAGAACGAGGAAGTTGGGTCCTGTGCAATACTGTCACTCACTTGTAACTCCATGAATCGTGCTTGGGAGGTGAATGACTGGGTACGTGTTTAAATATGATTGACAAAACATCATGCTTCAAACAGCTGTTTCTAGAAAAAGGCAAGCTTCTCTGTGTTCCACCTACAACAGAGAAGGCTGCTCTGGCCTTCTCTAGTTTCTAATAATCCACATGACACTGTTGTAAATACTCCTACCTGGAGAAGACAAAGAGATGTCCTCTCAGAAGTTTCTTCTGTCTTGTCTTGAAGTGGCCTGGTTGGAAAGACTGGCTAGCTAGTGAACAGCAGGGTGGAGAGCTGATCCCCGCAATTATTCTGCCTCAGAACATGCTGTCCAGGTGCTGCCCTGTGCTGCAGAGCCCAGCCCTGTTTTCTTCCTCATACAAAGGGGAGGCTGTTTTGACCTTTCCCATTTTTAATCTTCCCCTCCTACTTGGCTGGGGAAGCTGCAATTTCAACATGTTGTATCTGAGTCAGCAGGAAACAAAAACAGGGCCACTGGATGTGGGTTTTGTGGTGAATTTATAAGCAGTGTCCCTGCTACTAGGTCTGGTTTGAGACCAGCTCAGTGGTCAAGGCATAGTAGCAGCGATACACCGACTGGGCTTGTCACCTTATTTTAGGGACAGGTAGCTTTCCTCATCCCTGACATTCTTTCTACTGCTGCAAAATACTTGAGGCAGGTGCAGTCCTTGCCTGCATTTCACAGTGCGTTGCGCTGTGGATTCCTGGACTCTGCTTAGTGCTGGTGCAGGTGTGAGAATCCCATGGGCCAAAGGAAGAACTGCTGTTACTAGGCTACTTGGCTTCTTAGCTTGTTCTTTAGACAAGGAGTGGGTGCTTGGCTTTTCATGGGAAGAGGCTTTTATACTTCTGCTCCAGCATCTCTGCTGGCTCTCACTGCATCTCTGAAGAGACAGAACCTGCTGGTACCCTGCTGGCTTGAGCCCACTGCAGCTGGACTTGGATCCTCCTTTAACTCACGACTTCTCAGGAATATGCTCTGGGGACAAGCAGGAGCTTTTCAGCAGCTTTATGCAGTGCTGTCTGAATCACACAATAAAAAAGTCCAAACCCTATTATTAGACTTTGGAAACTGCTGCCTTAGAGACAGGTTTGCTTATAAATATCCATTATTTTCTCTCTGGCTCTTCACTAGGGAAGCTGGCAAGAAAACGGAATCTCTGCGTCTCCAGGATTTGCCTGCCCGTGCTGTTGTTGCTTCTTTCCACCTGAGCTCTTCCAGCCTCCCAAGTTCTAGCTGTGCTAATAAGACATTCACTTCAATATCAGCAGGGTAGCAAACGTGAACTATTTTGGAGCGGGACAGGAAAACAATAAGCAACTGGGAGAGCACTTGCCATGTAGATAACGCAAACCAGTTGCTTTGGTGGCTAAAGCAGAAGTGCAGGGTCGAGTTCCCTACTCAGCTCCAACGCTCCCCTGTGAGAAAGCCCCAAAGCTTCTTGAAACAGGGATGACAACGTTTCATTTCTCTGCCCTGTTTGAGGAGGGACAGATTTAAAGACCTCCAGAAATCAGTGGAAATGCTGATTTTAAAAAGCTTTGCAGCATGCCTCTGGACTGCACTGGCTGTCTTGTAACATGTGAATATGTCTGACCT